CACACACACACACACACACACACACACACACACACACACACACACACTTTTTTTTAACCATGTAGAGTATTATATGATAAAGCTGAAAACATAAATGTTTATAATTAACAACTGACTTACGTGTACATTCTGGAATTCCTGGTGACCACAGACCATTATTTTCACATGTCTGGGTATCTGGTCCATTTAGCTTGTATCCAGATGAGCAGCCGAGAGTCACTTTAACCCCATGTCTATATGGAGGTTGAGGGCTCACAGTCACCTGAGCACTTCTCTTTCGGGGATCTTCACATCCTTGAACTGTTGACAATATAGCAGTTTATGCACATTTCCAAAAAGAACATGTTCAAACAATGTCAAGATATTGGGAACACATGGAAACTGCTGCAAAGTTTGAGAAATAAACTGAATAATCTATGTCAACAGATTTACATAAAAAAAAAAATAAAAAAAAAAAATCCTGTTAGTATGGCAAGTTTCATCACTCATTTAAACGGTTACCATATAAACCCAAAAGTTTACGTAACCATTGTGGTTTTCTTAACAATATGACATTATGATGGTAGTATGACCTGATATGCTATACGTCTAGACGGGGGCCACACACACACACACACACACACACACACACACACACACACACACACAAAGAGGTTTCTTGCGTGACCAGGGGAACAAGATTTTAATAAAGCATGTAGGAGAAACAGATTAGGTTCAATGGTTTGGAGACAAAGCAAGAGAAGCAAAGGTAAGATGGTTTGTATTATGATCTGCTGTGGCAACTTATAAGGCATAAAGCAGGGTTTGGCAATAGTAGTCCCAGAACTTCATGCGCTCTTTGCAAAAATTAAATACCCAACCTAGCTAAAAGGGAGGAAAGCTGGATTTTGAGAACTTTACGAGCTTTAAATTGAACTGTACCTGTTGGTTTCTTTGGGGTAGAAGGGTTAGTAGTGGTAATGGTCGTAGTGGTTGTAGTGGTAGTTGTTGTGGGGTTTGCTGCAGGAACAAAAAGTCAGTCAGCAGGGATGTGTAAAATCCCAACTAGAGATGTAACTATTTGACTGGGACATCGGTCTGATCCTCACTCAAAAGCCTGGAATAGTTTTTGATTGCATATCTGCGACAACAAGCTGATCAATTGCCAAACTACAGTTTGGCAATTTTTAGGCTATTGCTAAAGATCATTCAGTTTAAGTCTGCATTGTTTACAGCAGCAGCAGCGTGTTGATGTTCTAGGAGGACAGCTAGGTAGCTAAAACAACACAATGGAAACATGCAAGCAACCGCAGCTTTTTAGATATTTCAAGCTTGACATGACAAGACCTTGTGTTTGTAGGAAATAAAACTATTCCTAACCAAGTGAGTTAAAAGTTCCAATGAAATCAATGCTTTCCCTGTTTGGCCTCTCAAACACATCAGATAAACTGATATGCCATTTATTATAAATACACCAATAAATTAAAAGAGGCTTAGGATTAAGAATCAAATACTAAAAACATTTACTGGGCAGATTTTATTTCACAAAATTACAGAAGCAATGTTTAACCTGAACCGGATGTTCCCTTATAGATAAGAATGGTTCCTGGTGTTGTCCCCAAAGTGACAAATACAGCTTTTTAAGCAGGGTTGGATATCGATTTCAATTTCTATAACTGATTTGATTCAATTCAATTTTGACACAGTCAGAAATATTATAATTCTGATCATTTATCAGTACATATCCATACTTTTATATCTCTGTATAAAAACAAAACTGACACTTATGAGATTTCATCAGAGGTGTAAGCATCAAAGCAGATGCCTTTGTGTTAAAGTAACAGAGGATAAAACACAAAAATATGAAGGAGATTTTCCTGGCCTGGCACTTCATAGCAGATAACCTCCTTAAAAATATTCTGCAGTAGATCAAAAACGGAAGAAAACCATGAATCAGCAGATTAACATTACCTGATGCTGCTGAATTGAAGCAGAGCAAAGTTACAGAGGTTTTATTAAAAATACTGGTACGTGTTTTACGATTTGGCATCATTTGTAAAAGCTTACATTTCGTCAGTATTGAAGAACAGAAATTAGGCTCTCTTGTTGGAGGTAATTTTTGAAAAACAAAAGACAGCGGCCAGCAGCACTGTACACAACAGTGGACAAGTGCGTAATAAGCCAGCAAAAAAATGGAGAAAACAGATTTTTGATGGGAAACTGGTCTTAAAGTACACAAGGAGAGAGAGCTGTGCAGTAAGTGTGATTTTATCATGGTGGAAGCAAAACAGCAAAAGTAAGAGAGAATTCATGATGATGTTTTTCAAACATGAAACGTCGTTTGGATCTTCTTTTGCTGCTGGTTGAGTTAAGTTTTACCTGCCCTCATTTGTTGTTTTAACTGTTTGTCAGTTGTTGAAATAATTTTGTGAGCTTTAACCTGAGATTCTGGCATTTCTGAAAAAATAAATTTATATTTAAAAATTGATTCAGTGAATAGATATCACATTATTCAAACTTAAATTATTTTGAAAAGGGAAAATCTTTTTTTTTTTTTTTAAAATCCAACCCTACTTTTTAATTCAAAGCTAGTATTGGACACACTTAATAGAGGGAGCACTCATCATGTTTTTACCAGTTGAGATCTGATACAGAGTAACTCTAGGTATTTGGTGAGATAGATATTAGGGGTGCAACGATACACAAAATTCACGGTTCGGTTCGATACTTTGGTGTCGCGGTTCGATATTTTTTCGATACAAAAAAATGTTCATGCCTTTTTAATTTGTCATTTACTAAATTTTCACGGCACATTCTGCACCACATCTCTGTGCGTTCATCATTTGTTTGAAGCCAGCTCACCTCCTGCAACTACTGTCGAGCGCAGATCCACTGAGCGCTCAACACAGACAGCACCGTCAGAAGGAAAGTTGATAAAATAAATTAAATATTTTGTATTGTTCGATACGTATGCGTACCGAACCGAAAGCACTGTATTGAACGGTTCAATATATATCTCCATCTTTTTTTTTTTGTGTGTGTGTCAAACCAAACCAATGTCCCTCTGGCTCTTAATTCATATGATACCAAACAGAGCGTAAAAACAATCAAGCAAAACAGTCCGATCTTCTCAGTTCACTTTCAGCAACTTCAGCAACTTTGCACTTTGAAAGCATACAAAGAAAAGCAATTGGTGAAGCTGGCATGATATGCCTCTAAACTGCTGTGGCTTTGATTAGGTGATCATCCTTCATGCTATAATAGTTCTGCCACTAGATGCCAATTGAACCAATATCCACAAATCAGATCAGTGCATCCCTAGTAAATCATGTGGTCATTACCCAAAGCCAGGGTATCAGTTACGAACTGGAAAAGTTGAATAAAATTTTCCCAACAGGAACAGTTCATGCATAATATTAGCTTTATGTATGTTACTGATTTTTTTTTTAAAAAAATGCTGAGCAATGATCTGTAATGGAAAGAATAATCTTTCGTAAATGCTTTAATTTAATCATGTAACTGGATATTTTCTTTACATTATTGAAATATAATAATGCAAGAAATCAAGAGTTAGCTGCCAAAATCCATGCATTGAATGAATGAGGAAAAGAAAGACAGCACAAGTCAGCAAGCTCCAGCTTTGAGCAGGTAACTAAAAGCTTGAATTATAACACCTTGCAACCAACATGTTTTGCTAGCATATGACGAGATTCAAAAGAAACCTCATAGGAGAGGTAAACTGCCATTCAGCATTTATCAAAAATGTGCATTAGGAGGAGTTATGCTCAGAATTGCGGGTGAAGTTGCAGTTAGAGCAAAGAGATGATCCGATTGAACTCAGTACATGCAAATAGATATTTTAATTTAACTTACGAATACACTGAGGAAGTGCAGGTGACCACTGACTATTTAGCTCACACGTCACAGTCGCGGATCCAATCATTTTGTATCCAGTGTTACATCGTAATGTGACTGTAGACAAGTATCCATATGGAGGCCGAGCACCGCTACTCCACTGTCCAAACGAAATCTCTGGTTCCCCACATTCAACCTCTACAGGGAAAGAAAGACATTAGTGCAGTTGTCAAAAATGATCTTTCCATAATATGTATTAGCCTAATTTATACTACACAAGAAAAACAAAACAAATTATTGAAAAAAAATTCAAAACACTTACTGATACATTTTGGAGGCTCAGGCTTGAATGTTCCATCATCCGAACAATGCAACTCTCTTGATCCATTACGTGTATAGCCGATTTTACAGTCGTACACTATAACGTCTTTATATTCATAGAGTTCTTTAATTTGACTGAAAGAGCCATCCTGTACAACAGGTGGTGATTCACATTGTGTCACTGGAAAATAAAAATACAAATCTATCAGAATGAAAACAAACAGTGAGCTTTTAATCAGGGGTGTGACTTGTGTTACGACAAGACAACCAACCTTCACATACAGGCAACCTGCCCGTCCACCCTTTGTCTCCACAAGTGAGTTCTCCTCCACCAACTGGCATATGACTGATTGGAGGGAAAAAGGTTAGTTTAGAGATTTTATTTCACATGACACAGAACAGCAAGTTTTTGTTTTTTTAAGACATGGAATTGGAACATTTTAGTGATTTAATATGCTACTACTACTTTCAATCTAAAAACTAATTATCTAAACACTGTTTATTAGAGCTAGCATTGTATTACTAACCCGGAGTTACAAATGAGCACTGCTTTATCACCAAATTCAGACCCAGGACGATATTCAATCTGTCCATTTTCAACTTCCTCCACAGGGCCACAGTTCTTCCCTGAAACAAGAAAAAGAAGGTTATATTGGAACTTGTTTTTATAACATTATGTGTAATCTCAACAAATATAGTCTACTATTTATGTAACATGTTTATGTGCTTAAACTGGCTGTGAAATGCAGCTGCAATAAGGAATTTGAATATCAAATCAAGTTTTAATATTCACGTTGGCATTTCAACCCCAGAGAGCTCCAACTTCCAGCAGTACAAGTAATACGTGGGGACCCTCCTGCAGACTCATATCCAGTGTTACAGGCAAAAGTAACTGTGGTCCCATCTGGAAAACTAGTTAGAAGAATGTCATTGCCCTTTAAATCCATATTTTCTCCTTTAGGAGGTTTGGGACAGTTTTGAGCTGTACATGGGAAAAGAAAAAAACAAAAAACATACAGACAAAAAAGAGAGAACATAATTTTAAGAACAGGGTAACCCAAGAAAAACACCATGCTGTGTTTACCGTGTCTCAAGCTAATCCGGACTGCACTCACCTTGAGCAGTAATTGCCAACAAGACAAGACTGCTCAGCAGAAGAATACCCATGACAGATCTGACAGGTTAACTAAAACCAAGAGCCCTTTCTGGTACAAAACAAAGGCAAACACAAGAAAGACAATCAGAGATATTACTTGGTCATGATAGCTGGTACTAACAAGGCTCTCCATTGAATCAGGTCTGTCACTGCTAACACATTAACTAGCGGAAGGTAGCAGGTGCAAACATTCGGTCTTCGGTAATGTTTATATATTTCGCTAAACCAAAACCTTAACAGTAACCAAGTTTAGGTTTTAAAAATGAAATATTTGAAAATACTGCCTCCCCTCTCCCTTTGTCGCGGCAGAAAACAAACCTAAAGTCTTTCCATATTATACAACTTGAAGGCCACGATAGCTTCGGCGGGCCGATCAACATTTGTTAAACTAAATGACAGGCAGGTACGGGGAAAAAAATGGCCGTGAATTCTCGCAGGTCACGTATGCTACTCTCGGTCTTCCTGGAGCCAAAGATACCGTGAGTGGTAACACAGCACATTAATAATCGCGTAATTTAGCTTACAGGGGGTTAAGAAGATGTCACTGAAAGATTAAAAAAATGTTGATTCCATTTGAATGTCTGCAATTTGGTCAAAATCCATAAACTGTTAAATCGCCTTCGGCTGCGTTAGCTAGCTAATTGTTAGCTAACTTAGCAGCAACGACGGATAAATACAATAATATAGCACTGTTATGGGGTCGACGCTTTGTTTTTGTTTTTCCGGTTGTTACGGACGGTTAAAACAAACGACACCATACCTTACGTCTGAACGCCAACAATGATGACCGCTAACAGTCCTGCTCTGAAAGGTTATTTCGGGTTTCTCCTTGTTTTAATGTGGGCTGCGTCTCCTTCTCGGAAGTAGGCGCGGTCAAACAGTGACGTGCTTGTTCTTCATAAGTCTTAGCCTAGATTACAGCTCGCGTACTTTATAACATAATAATGAAATAAACGAAAGAAACAAAGCTCTTAAGTTTGTGTGGATTCACATAAAACGAGTGTAGTACTTGTAGTGCTACCAATAAGCCAAATGAGGGTTGTTGTACTTCCATCCATTTTACTTAGTAAATGTAGCACCAGGAAGAAAAACTAAATTAGTTGAAACCGCTGTATTTCTGAAATTAGTCTGTATGCTATAACCGTTTTTTTGTTTTTTGTTCTGTCTTTTCTGAACATAATACGCACAAGTTTATGAGCCCCACCCACCATAAACCCAACACTTCCTTATTACTCTGTTGTTCCATACTTCACATAAATATGCAGTTTTCCCTTCTTAAAGCAGTATTAATAGGACACAGCACGAGACCTGTATATAAAAAGACACATACACCTTTAAGACAATATGAAAGTGTAGGCTGTTCTTTACTGTCCTTGAAAAGCTTTGGCCCTCTTTTGTAAGCCATGCATACTACTTGTGACATACTTGTGAAAACATTTTGTGTTGTAAATTACAGTGCCCAATACATTCAAACAGGGTGACGCATTACAAAACAGGGCGGACTGAATCAATGTGAGGAAATAAACTTCCTGCTGTACTTTGGTCTGTTTATTCACCATTCACAATTCCTGCTTTTTCCAAATGTTTTTCCAAACATTCCTTTAAATGACATCAACCACATTTGAAAAAAAAATACAAAAACTTCAGAGGATTATTTTATTTATTTATTTAAATTTGTTTTTACATTTACAACAACCTACAGAAGAGAAAGTGCAACTTGTAATAAACTGTCTGGAATCAAATGTATTTAAATACAAACTTTAATCATAAGTGTAAATGGACATTTAAACTTACAAATTAACTTAATACTTTAAATGTGTCTTTCACATGTCAGGTCATTTTTGTATGACCTCCACATGACCCCTGTTCACAATTACTTGGCAAGCACGCAGAGATTCAAATTTATTTAATGGATTTATACTGAAGTTTAAAACTGAGACTTAAAAAAGAGTGATTTCATATTAACATGAAACCAGGTGATTATAAGCAAAAAGAAATGTTCAAAAACTTGTGGAAACTGTTTATCAAATTGTATTTTCTAAACATAAAAGTGAACATTATATGATCATTCACATGCAGCAATGTGAAATCAAATTAAAACAAAATATGATGACTTTTGTGACACTCCACGTAGCCAAACCTTTTATATCATATTGTATATCTGGGTACACGGGCCTTTCTTAACTTATCCAGATCTTCCCTGAAATAAGACCACAGACAGGAGGAGACCATTATTCAGTCATATCGAATCACAGGATTTTCACATTCACAGAATGGAAATTACTAGAATTGTCCAAAATTATCTCTATATTATGCTAGCAACCTCCTGAGGTATTTAATACAAATTTTAACAACAATGGAGAAGTGAAGCTACATATACTTAAGCAATTTTAATTCATAACATGCGTATACATTAAGGAAGTCCAGGTGACCAGTAACGTTTTTATGTCACGGTAAGGTTTGCATTGATTATGTATCCAGGTTCACACTTTAACATTGCTGACGACAACTATATCTTCAGAGGTTAAAAATCCTCATTCTATTCATCATTTGGACTCTTCATATTCAACTTGTGGGAAACAAAAAGGAAACTGTATATCAATACAGTTATCCAAAATGACCTTATCTATCATTAACCAGGAGACTGGTCCAATTGAGGCTATAAAGGCAAAGTTGGAATTTAAAAATACATATTAAATTCACATACACATTGTAGTAATTGCACACCTTTAATACCAAATCATCTACAGAGAAAATTAAATGATATGATTAGATATGCCTAGAGAGGCACGTCAGTTTTAGCTATATATATTTAATTTTGTGTAATATACTGAGATAATTATAATTAGAGCTATTTGTATTTATTAGAGCAATTTTGTTATATTTTATAACCTTGTAATATGCTGTATTATTTCACTTAGTTTAGTTAGTTACTGTACTTAGAGTCTTGGAGCAACTTTGACCACATAATTTCTGCTTTGAAAACAATGTTTAAGCCAAACCTGATGTTTGCTTATAAATAAAAAGAATGGTTCCTGGTGTCGTCCCTACAGTGAGAAAAACAGTTTTTAATTCAAAGCTAGCACTGGACATGGACTCAAAAAAACGCTGAGTAATGATCTATGTAAATATGGTAAAAAATCTTCTGATGTCAGTTCTTTAATTTAATGCTGTAATTCAATAAGTGTCTTTACATTACTGAAATATAATGATGCAAGAAATCAAATATTAGCTGCCAAGATCCATGCATATATCCGTGCTCATAGTAGAGGTAAGGTGCCATTCACCAATACTCTCCACTTTTTGCTGAAGATCACTGGCCAGGACCCCGTAGTCTTCATTTACCTGCCTTTTTTGCACTTTTCATAAATATGCAGCAGGAGGGCTTAGACTCAGAATTGGGGTTGAAGTTGTACTTAGAGCAAAGAGATCATGCTTGAGCTCAGCACTTACAAATAATTATTTTAATTTTTGACTTACGAATACACTGAGGAAGTCCAGGTGACCACTGACCATTTAGCTCACACATCACAGTAGCGGATCCAATCATTGTGTATCCAGCGTTACACTGTAATGTGACTGTAGACAAGTATCCATATGGAGGTCGAGCACCGCTACTCAACTGTCCAAATGAAATCTCTGGATCTTCACATTCAACCTCTGCAGGGAAAGAAAGTAGACATTGGTGCAGTTGTCAAAAATGACCTTTTCCACAGTATGTATTAGCCTAATTTATACTACACAAGAAAAAACAAAATAAGTTATTGAAAATAACTCAAGACACTTACTGATACATTTTGGAGGCTCAGGCTTGAATGTTCCATCATCCGAACAATGCAACTGTCTTGATCCATTACGTGTATAGCCGCTTTTACAGGTGTACACTATAGTGTCTTTATAGTCATAGACTTCTCTATTTGGACTGAAAGAGCCATCCTGTACTACAGGGGGTGATTCACATTGTGTCACTGGAAAATAAAAATACAAATCTATCAGAATGAAAACAAGCAGTGAGCTTTTAAGCAGGGGTGTGACTTGTATTACGACAAGACAACCAACCTTCACATACAGGCAACCTGCCCAACCACCCTTGGGTTCCACAAGTGAGTTCTCCTCCACCAACTGGCATATACCTGATTGGAGGGAAAAGGTTGGTTTAGAAATTTTATTTCACATGACACAGAACAGCAAGTTTTTGTTTTTTTAAGACATGGAATTGCAACATTTTAGTGATTTAACATGATACTACTAACTTCAATCAAAAAATTAATTATCTTAACACTTTTTATTAGAGCTAACATCGTATTACTAACCCAATGTTACAAATGAGCACTGCTTTATCACCAAATTCAGCCCCAGGACGATATTCAATCTGTCCATCTTGAACGTCTTCCACAGAGAAACAGTTCTTCCCTGAAATAGGAAAGATGAGGATTAAATTGGTTCTTTAGAAAATTTTAGATGATATTATGTATAATTAATTCCACAAATAAAGTCTACTGCTTATGTAACATGTTCATGTGAGTATTTTTCTAGAGGTCGAGATTTTTTTTAAACAACAATTTTAAGAATGTTTCCAGGATGGGGAGTAAATTCTACCTGACACCCATTCTCATGTGCTTAAACTGGCTGTGAAACACAGCTGCTATAAGGAATTTGAATTTAAAATCAATTGTTAATATTTACTTTGGCATTTCAACCCCAGAGGGCTCCAACTTCCAGCAGTACAAGTAATATGTGGGGACTCTCCTGCAGACTCATATCCAGTGTTACAGGCAAAAGTAACTGTGGTCCCATCTGGGAAACTAGTTAGAAAAATGTCATTGCCCTTTAAATCCATGTTGTCTCCAAAAGGTCTGGAACAGTTTTGAGCTGTACATGAAAAAAAAGAAAAAGACAAAAAATAAAGACAAAAACAGAGAACAAGTTCTTGAAAGAAATTGAAAACACTTACTAATACATACATCCCACTTCTAAAGAAAGTAGAAGGCGATCTGACTAGATGGAAATCTTTA